TCATCGAACTATAGTACCTATTGTTTTACATAATTATTTTGCCAAGAATTACACGTAACAAGCTTATATAATGCCTGAATAAAACCTAACACATTTATGGTACATTTTTGAGACACCAGTTCTACAATACAAAATTACACGTATGAATAATTACAAAACACTGAATGCCAAATCGTAAATCTAATGAAATATTCGAGTACTTATTTATATCATGTTCCTAGTGACTTAATGCATCCTGAAATGTCGTAATGTTTAGTTCTAATTTAACCAGACAATTTCATTCTCAAACATACCAGTAAGAAATCAAGCTGCTACAAAAATGGTTGTGCATGTCTTGTAAAACAAGCACTAAAATGATACTCTGAAATATGTGTTCTACCTCCGTGTACAAAAACTTTTAAATTTTTCTTAGCCGTACTTTACTTCTCAATCACAATTTTTAATTACAGTAAATTTTATATTGAATTTAAAATATCAAAATATGACTTCTACCAAGTCATTTTATGTTACACAGTTTTAACATTCAATTTTGATAAAAGTAAATTAGAAGTGGCTAACTTAAAAAATTAAAATGTATAAACATTACATATTATACATATTAACTACAAACGTAAAAAATAATATTTTCATTAAATTCTGACAAATAGAAATAAAATTATTTCTTGAAAAACAAACCATAGTGTCCCATCAATTTCTTAAAGGAACAATTTACAATGAAGAACACATTTTGCTAGGCCTACAAGAAGTGCTAGAACTTAAAATTCTCCACAAACAGCCATCAATACCAAATTTATATGCAGTTCAAATTTTGTTTTAAATATGAAACAAAAGCCTCAAAAACAAACAAAAGGGGAAAAAATATACAACAAAATTATACAGTATTTATAAAATTTTGACCTCATAATTCAACAAGTAGAGTAGTGTTTAAATTACACATACTACTTATGTGTTACATCAAACCAGAACACTACTCAACACTAACTGTCAGATTCCACTATGGGGCTAAGTTTGTAAACTTCTTCAAAATAAAACATGACTAATGAATTTGTTTATTATATTACTGGGCATAATATGTTACCTTTAGATATAAGCCAAAACACCAGCACACTTTGGTTACACAATCAAAGTATAATATTATAGATAACGTTGTAATATATCTTAATTATATGTAAATTTCTGAGATTGGCCTTTCTCAAAACCTTCCTCCAGCACAGTATGCTTTCACAATTTAGGATACTTGACATATTCAAAACAAACATTTAACTCACAACAGAAAAAAAAAACCATTAAATGTAATTATGTGTTTGTAATATGTATCATAAGTACATGAAATTAGACAACTTACCCAATGCTGTTGCATCTCCCTTCTGATAGGTCAAGATGTACTTGTTCAAAAATAATGTGGTAAAACTAAAAAAATACCACAATATTAGTAACACTATTGCTTTCATATTACACAAGCCATCCAATTTACTGGTGGAATTAAAACCTATAACCTTCTTATCTTGAACATGATTTTCATTAACAGGTGATGGAAAAGATATGATATCATGCATCTCGACTTCTTTGATTGTGTTGTTGTCAGAAATTCCCTCAAAGTTCAATAAACTGTCATCAATATGTCTATTAACTGTAGACAATTGGTCATCCTTACCAGAAAATACAAAACTTTTTTCAATGTTGTCCATCTTATATGTTGTTGATACATCTACTGTTGTCCTTGACCGTATATTTAATTCTTTTCCTTCCATTAGAATTTACCATCACTGCAGCCGTTATCTTCTGAAGATTCTAGACACGTTCCGTACATTTATGAATCACAAATTATGAAGTCACTGAACAGGATCATCTTTGCCTGCAATGATAAAATCAAAGAAGAATTTGAAATATAAACGAGAGTAAGTTATCGCCCCATACTAATTATTGTCACTTTGTCTTTCACATCATCATAATTGAAATCATATAACTTTTTAAATTCCTTTTATATTTCTAACAGGTTAATTCACTTACAGAATGAACTGCTATCAGCAGCAGAGGAAATCGGAACCTTATATTACTTTCAGAGAGGTATAAATTATTTCTTGAAAAATAAAAGGTGGTTTGAAAATTGCACTTTTTTCAATGATGGGTGTGAAAGGAAAGATTTCAAGGATGAAGTAATCACTCATTATCCATAAATTATGTTATTTGTTTGCAACAACTAGTGTTAAGCCATAAAATGAGGAAAGTTATATCTTGGTTTCTGCACAATATAATATATGTGTGCTGCCACTTCTGGGCCCTGTATAATTTATCTTTTTGCTTCTGGGCCCTGTATAACTTATCTTTTTTTTTAATTTTATACTCATTCATAAAAATCATTCCTAAATATAATATGGCAGTAGAAAATTAAAATATGCTAAGTATTTAAAATCACAGCTAAAATAAATATAGACACTTGTTCTCAGAATGGGAAAATCTTGTACTGAAAACTAATTCTTTCAAGTTTTGATAAGCCTGGGCCCTATGCCAAGTTATGGTTTAGGCCAGACCCTTAATGCTAGATAGACCTAAATAACCATATGTAAGTAGAATCATTTAATCAACAACCAAGTACATATATAAATATATATATTGGAGGTATCCCACACTCTACAAAATTTTAAATTCAAAAACAACCAAAGTGGGATAGAAAAAATGCATCATTTAAAAATGTTTCACCACTGTTAACGTGGCATCATCAGGTACTCAGCACAATTGTACACAAATTGTATCTGAATTTGTCAAGATATATTTACAGCATCTTTTTTTGTATGTTTAGTGATTGGATTTTTAATTAATTTGTTAAATCAATCTTGGACATTATTCATAGATAAAAGAAACAAAAACTGTACTGCATCATTTTTTGAGGCACCTTGTGACCAGAATTTAAACTTTTTTGTGGCCCTATCCTTTTCCTCTTTTTGTTTACTTTTTGGAAAACGTCTAGCTTTACCTAAAAGTCAAATTTAAAACTAAAACTTCAGTATATGCAACTTATGTATATTTGATTTTGAGTAATTATACAAGTCTTAGAAATCCTTTAGGGGTCTGCAGTTTTCAGCTGTTTCTCATTTATATGTTAATAATTCAGTATTAAAATGCAAGTCTAAGATTATTATTCATACTACGTACTAATACTACTATTAATATTATTACTATTACCAATATTATTAGTAACATTAGGCTTACTGTAGCAGTACCACGGATTGAGTTAGCCAACCAGGATATATATAGTTAAAAATTACGATACATATTCATATTATAATTTATATATATTTACCTTTTTAACGTTTTTGGGTTTCCTATGTTACACATTACAATTCAACCCCAAAACTTATTCGTGTCATCTCTTACGTACCGGTACGTTATCACTGCAACGTCATCTACAAATTACTGTATTTCAAGTCGTATTTAAATTACTTAGTATTATTGCTATTTGTACGAATTATGTCTCAATTCGAAAAATATTAACAAATCTTATGTTATTAAATGACAAATGTTTTTAGTATATACAGTAATAAAAATTATGTTGTGATGCAAATATATGCTATAACATTTTCTACAGCAAGTCCACTTCAAACTATATATATAATAATCCCTTTTCGAATCCAACGCTGGTCTGTAAAATAGTTATCCAATCTCCTTTTAAACTCCTCTAATATTTCAGCTTCCACCATATTAGAAAAGTAACACTGTCATAACTACAGCTGTAGGTCAGTTGGCTTATAATGCTAAAAATCTGGTTTCAATACCAGCAGTAGGCAGAGCACACATTGTCAGGGGTGTATCTTTGCGCTTTACAACAAACAAACAGTCTTTTAGTCTTATTTTTTACTAACTGCAAGGTTTTTGTTTATAAGAATGTTATTCGGATTTACAGATTCCAAACCTCAAACAATCCCAAAAATTTCATTTGTATCTTCCAAACTCTTTTCCTCGCCATCGAAATTATGTAAACATATTTCAAACTATTGTGCTATATATTCTGATAACACCGAGTTAATCATAGATTAATGAAATAGGTCCGCTGAATAACAAGAGACTCTACAAGATATCTACTACGAAGTGTTACTGAATTCGATAAATACATGAGCTCATGAGAATGAAATAAAGAAACTGAACTAAACGTAAAATGCAAAAGCACAGTCTTTATTATTACACAAACACGATCTGTTTCAAATTCAATGACGAGGAACCCACTTTGAGACTAATAATGGCTGGAGACGGCTTGAATGGGTGTTCTTGCTTTAGACGATGGATTGTCGCTTGTACTAGACTGAAACTATTCTCTCCAACTGATCAGGCCGAGATGATAAACAAGACTGTCTAAATTCAAAGTTCCTTACGTCACAGATACCATTAAATTAACCGAGAGCGACTATAACGCTCGCTACACATGTAACTGATCATTCTCATGTAAGTATACGAAGGGCCGTAACCTCGAGGTACCACCTGACCTACCACTGAAGGACAATGCTATCTATATTATTGCATAACTTGCAGCATTACAGTCATGTCTTCTCATAGGCAGAGCAAGTGTGAGCTAAACAGAATGACAAGAACAAAGTCACAAAGGACAGCTAGAATGAAATAAATTTAACGACTTCCTTGATCATATGTTATGCTAAAACTATACTTACTCAGAAAGTATTAATAAATTTTGAACAATACTATATTGTTACGTCTCCGTTTGTTAATTGATTTTTCCGTAACTTCGTTCCAACGAAACTTTAA